CTGCTCTCCAGTCTGTGACGCTCTATCCCGTACATTGGCGGGGGCAGTAAGGTTTCCTGACTTGAAACGGAAATAGAATCCATTAGACTGTACGCTTGACTCTATTCTTTTTTCTGAGGTTGTCATATTTTAAGATAGACTAGCAGGTTTGCTAGTTGAACCATAAAGGTGTACACTGTCAAATACTGTCAAGTTTAGTTCACTTATCAGGTATTTAAATTTGGACAAAGAAATGAAAGAATACATGTTTTGAAGTTTTAAATTTTCCTTAGGTATTTAGGCAAAGATTTTAGTTTTTTCTGAACTTTGATAGGAAAAGGAAGCGGTGAATTGTACCTATTGTTTAGGTAAACTGTTTGGCTGCTGAAGTTAGGTGGAAAGTTGTCATTTGTTCTGACAAGTTGCAGATGATAGTGAAAACCCTTTGCCTTGATACTAGGTTTTGGCATATTGAAGCAAGTTCCAGAAATCTGTCTGGTAGGCTCTCTCTGCCTCTTTCTCATCTTGTTCTCCTCTCCCTCTCTATGTCCAGCTTGATTTTAATTGACTGAGACAAAACCTCAAACTCAGGAATGTTCTGAGTCTGTGTGGGATTAGTCTTTAGCCCTTGATTTGGAAGGATCAGAGTCCATTAAAGAAAATTGTGTTTCAGAGGAAAGTATAGCTTGGGAACCTACAGTAGGTGCTTTAATGATAAGTAGATTTTATGAACTTATCATGTTGTTTGTTCTATGATCTCGGGATACTGGGGAGACTCAAACCCCCAACCTTTTCACTAGTCGTTGGGCTCTTAACCATTTGGGCCACCCAGGAATGACTCTCATTCCAATATACTTATTCCAAAGGCCTATTCAATCAAAATGAATTGTGTCACTGTCTGAGAAATAATCTAATGAAGAATTGTTTTCAAACCTTAGACTACCTAAAAGATTATTAGGCATTGTATTACATTGCATTGCATATGTTGTTGTTACTATTTTTTGCTAAATACTAATTCTATAAGTTACCATTGTAAAAGGGGTGCTATTTGTTTTCATGACCATTAAGGTACATGTAGTTAGACAGCTGGCCCTGCCACACAGACATCATGTTTGAAAAGCTGTGACTACGGTAGGTCTAGATGAGGTGTTTCTGATTCACTTTCATATAACTGGTATTTAAATATGAAACAGCAATATTAGTGTATCTGATACATAAAGCCTTGGAATCTTGGTATGGTGCTGTGGGATCAGCACTGGACTGCTAACCGAAAGTTTGGTGGTTCAGACCCACCATCCACTCCTTGGAAACCCTGTACTAGTTTGCTATGAGTGGGACCGACTTGGCACTTAGCAACAACAATAAACATTAGATATACATGCTCTGCTCTGCTCTTTTCCTGTTCTTATTCCTTTCTCTCACTGTCCTCTGTGTCTCACTGAGACTGCTGGTAAAATGCAGAATCCAGAAACATATGAATCAGGTTTATTTTCCAGCAGCCAAATCTGGGAAACTAGAGCACTGTGTAATACTGTTTTTGTCAGAAAACATTTTGAATTACCAATGGTAGACTTGAATCAAATTTTAGTAATGCAAATTATTTACCATGTGAGTCGGTATCTGCTCACTTTGAATAATTAAAGACTGTTTAAAGAAAAAAAATATCCAAATACCATATCGCAATGGCCAGCAAGGTAAAATTGGTAATGGTGGTAAATTGATTATTATTCGTACATACATAGGAAGTCTTCAGGTCACAAACGTCTGACTTCACTATAACCCATAGTTATGAACAAATTCAAGATCTGTACAATGGTTTATAATTACAAACAGATTCTACTTTGTGATGCACATCAGAACATTATTATTATTTCCATATTGTGTTAAAGATGTTTTAGTGGAACATGGAAGTGTTTAATGTTGAGATTAAGCACTGGACTGTGAATCACAAGGTAGGCTGTTTGAGTCCACCAGCTGCTGCTTCACAGGAGAAAGATGAGGCTTTCTGGTCCTGCAAAGATTAAAAGCCGTGAAGACCCTGTTTTGAACTGCCATTTGAACTGCAAGGGTTGTTAGGAGTCAGACGGCATGTAACAACAGCAACATACATAGAAACTAAAAAACCAAACCAAACCTGCTGCTATTGAGGAGTCCTGGTGTGGCTCTGAAGGATAATGTGCTGCACTGTGAGGTCAGTTTGAACCGCAAGGTCAGCAATTCAAATTCACCAGCCGCTCCTCAGAAACCCTATACAGGGTCGCTATGGATCAGAACCAACTCAACAGCACTTCACAACAACAACTGCAGTTGAGTTGATTCCGACTCACAGTGTCTTTCTGTACGGTTTCCGAAGCTGTGAACCTTTATGGTAGCAGACAGTATCATCTTTCTCCGAGGAGCAGCTAGCTGACCTGTGGTTAGCAGCCAAAGATGTAACCCAGAGTGACATAGAAAGGTACACTATGCCCGTAACTGTTCCAACTTTCATACTAATTCAACCTAAAGACAGATTTAGGAATGGAACTTGTTTGTAGTATATATATGTGTGTGTATGTATGTATACACACACACACACACACACACACAGACACACACACACGAGTCCTGATGCAGTGCTGTGGGCTAATGTGCCAGACCGCAAAGCCATATGAACTGCAAGGTCGGTGGTTCAAACTCACAACAGCAAATACACACACACACACACACACATATATATATTTATTTATATCGGACTACTTGTATATGTATGTTAATAGATGAACTAATACAGGGACCCTTTTCTTTATGCTCTTACAACAGTGGAAGACTAACTAATGCACATTCTGTCATTTAGAAGCAACAGCTTCCGGAGCCGGTAGGAGATCAGATGTGAATCCATTCCTAGCGCCCCGCTCCGCAGCCGTGCCTCTTGTTAACCCAGCTGGACATGGAAGTGGTGGGTCTGCACATCTTCTTTTGAAACCCATCTCAGATGTTTTGCCCACATTTACACCATTGCCAGTGTCGTCTGACAACAGCGCGGGAGTTGTATTGAAAGACCTTTTAAAGCAGTAGACGATTCTCAAGCCAGAGATCACAGAGCACTTTAAAGACATCAGGAACACTATGTGTATGTACTTTCTCACAAAGCGGCCTTTTGAGAAGTTCTGTATTTGTTTACCATTGTTCTTTCTTCTATGTTTAATAAAATATGATCAATGCTGTTAGAAATTGCAGATGTCAGAGTAGCAGGTGTGTGCTATGTAACCTGCTTTTTCCCATCTCTGATTTGACCTCACTGAAGCTACACACGGCTGATTTACCAGAGAATATTTTAATAAAAATAAAAACAGTAATAGGTGGTAGCTCTAAATCAACACTCTCGGTTGCCTTCTCTGATTTTACAAGCTCTCATTTAAGCTAGAAGACATTTAAATTATTGTGGTTTTTTTGGAAAGAAAACAACTTTTGCCTTCTCTGTGTAGTGTCAAAAGTCGACCTGAAGCCAATATAAAGCATCTTTTCAGAACTTTGTGTCTAGCCAGGTCAAGAACAGTGTTTTTCCTGAAGTCGTATACGCCCTGAGGTGGGATGTGTATGGACTCGGTTCTATGCAATTTTATCACTTGTGAAGTCTTGTGATCACCACCACAGTTTGGATACAGACTCATCTCCCAGTGTCTCTCTAATGGGGCACTTCGAGGCTCCTGTGGAAAGGGGGCCATATGTGACAGGACCTTGGACTTGATCCAAATGGTATGTATCAGTAGTTCCTTATTATTGCTGAGTGCACAGTATCATTTAATTATACGAGCTGCGGTGTATCTTTTTTGAAGTTACTGTCTTAAAAGTAAATCTTTCCTCACATAAACACAACTTTCCTGTAAGTGTGAAGCGGACAGCTGTATCTGTGTAACTGTAAGGAAGAATACTGCTACCTGTGATGTCTCCTGCCTCTCTCTGAGCTGTTGACACCTGAGGCTCACAGAGAGCACAGCATGCCCAGTGTCTGGACTGGAGGAATCAGTTTTTCTTTAATTTTATATAAACCCTTCAGAAAAAAACCCTAACTTGGAACTTAATGTATCCAGATGTTCATATCTATTTAAGTTGTTGAAGTTGTACATTTAAAAATACATTTCTTGCAAATTTTGTAAATTTCAGTGTGTGTTTAAGATGGAAACATTTGTTTAGTGAGGAAAGGTGGAAATGACAGGAACCCAAGTATGTAAATAGAAGCCTGGTCCAGCCCAAGCACAATTTGGTCGTTGGAGATTTGCCAGGATTTTCTGTACTCGGAAGGCTGAAAGTCTTTAATTACATGTTGATGGATAAAGCTTGTTTTTCTTAAAAATTAAGTAACCGAAACATACTGCCTCTGAGTGTCACCTGTCTTCTTAACTAGCTTATTTAGCACGCCATTCTTTATACCGTCGTCTGCTTTGCAGGAAGTGACCAAGTTCTACATTAGAACTGTCAGCCTGCCTCCTGTTGGGTTTTGCCCACGGTTTCTCTCAGAATCAAGTATTACTACTCAGCTTTTGTTTGCTTTTTTCAAGGATACTTTCACTGCTCATCCTAAATGATTTTCTGCTTCCATTGCAGTTACATTTCTGTGTGAAGCAACTGAAATACTAGTTTCTAGTTTGGAAAAAAAGACAAAAAGAGACATGATCTTAAAGGTTCTTTCTCTTAAGTCATTTGACAAAGAGATGCATGGTGGGGATTTACGTAGCATGGCGTCATACTCTGACTTAGGACATTTTGAGTATTTTTTTCCCGGGCCAATGCAGCCTGTCTCCCCTCACCCCCCCATGGTTTAGCATAAGTTAGAAAGCTGTTAAGGATGGATTGCATAGCTACACATCACAGTGTGCATAGTCCTACATGGCGGCCATTTAAATAATTGACCTTGGGCTAAAGCTGTTGGATCTCATGTTTCCGTTGTATCATCATCAGACTAATACGACTGGTACGCATACTAAGTGTGTGTTGATTTGAGCCAGACATAGCTCATTGACTTCTCTGAAACCGAGTTGTGTTGGAGATGAAGCGTATGCTCAAAGAATCTTCTTAGTAACCCGGACTGCGATGAAGCATGTTCTAACGTTAGCAAGAGAACATTGCCAACTAATTTTACTTCAATACTTTTAACTACAATAATTTTCCTTTTTACGTCTCTATAAGCTTACTAGTTAGTAGTTGAATTCTGCATTAGCTGCCACACTTTTCACAACATTCCTAATTATTTCAGCCTCTATGCTAGACAGTTCTTCCAGCCATTGAATCTGATTTACAGTATCATCCTGTCTCATGTGGTTATTTTGAGTTTTAGTGCCTGCCATCATTGATTTTTAAAAAAATTCCCCAAAGAAACAAACAATAAATTGTGGAAAAAGGGATGGCTTTCTTGCAGTGAGCCCATTAAATATTCTTTTACCAAAGCAATGCTTCTAGTTTATTTTATAAACAAGTTTTAAACGGTTGGTAGAAAGGCATAAAAGAGACTATCAAAATACATCCCAAGTCAGTAGGTTAAAAAAGCAAAAACAGAAACCCAAAAACAACTGTTTTGAGGGGCCCGGGAATGATGAACTTTATTTAGAAATTTTTATGTGTCAGACTGAAAACAATTGAATTTTCATTTTTAAACCTAATTAAATTTTTATGTCAGAGTATTTAAAAGATTTTCCATCAACAAAACGTCCTCTCATTTTGTAAATATCAAGTAAGTATAGGTGGTATTTATTTCATAAATTCCTATGGAAAAATAATGGTACTTTTAATGGTCTGACATTTGTGATCACTTGTCAGTCTTTACTTTTTAACTTATTAAAGTTGATCAATTGTTTTTTGATTTTGAGGGAAATATCTGATTGTGGGGAATCTATGACATAAACCTTCTTGTCAGTTTGTGTTGTACAGTGCAACAGTCGGTGCATTTCTGAGTTTCTCAGGAGCATTGCAAGGCAAAAAAATTAAAAAAAACCTACTCTGAATAAGAATGATCTTTGTAAGTTAGCAATGTCTTCATCTACAATAAAAATGAAAAAAAAAATACTTTTAACAAACAGCTGTTGGCTTTTTCTTGAGAAGGGGGATAAATGATGTACGCATATTGTTTATAAAGGCAGTTGAAGAACTACTGAAACGAATCTAAGTAATCACCTGAGTCCTCTGTTAGGATAGTCTTTGGACTTTGGAAATTTTAAGTGTGAGCAATTTATATGTACTCAAGATTGTAAGCTGGGACATTGAATAAGGAAGACCATAGAAAAATTGATGCAGTTGAGTTATGGTGTTGGAGGAGAATATTGAAAGTGCCATGGGCTGTCAAAAGAACCAACAGATCTGTGCTGGAAGAAGTACAGCCAGAGTGCTCCTTGGAGGCCAGGATGGCCAAGCTTCGTCTCATATTTCAGACATATTGTCAGGAGGGACCAGTCGCTGGAGAAGGATATCATGTTTGGTAAGGTGGAGGGTCAGAGAAAAAGAGGAAGGCCCTCAGTGAGATGGATTGGCAAAATGGCAGCATCAATGGGCTCTAGCGTGGCAACAATTGTGAGGTTGGCCCAGGACCGGGCAGTGTTTTGTTCTGTTGTGCATAAGGCTGCTATGAGTCGATACCTAACAACAAGATTGTGAGAGGTCTCAGCCAGCCTTTGTTTTGTTTTCTTTCTCAGGTAGAAAGAAAACCTCTTGGTCTTCCTGTAATATCATTTTTCTTTGATATGGAACCTGAATTTTTTAACTGTTTGGATGGCACAGTATTGAAAAAAAGCAAGGAGCATGGGTTGGCTTTAAAGTTGCTAACCTGGGTTGGAGTACCAATTTTGACCTGTTCTCTGTGACCTTGAGAAGAGCCCTGGTGATGTAGTGGTCACAATGCTCCCCTGTGAGCCAGAAGGTCAGCAGTTTGAAGCCGTTACCTGCTTCCTGGGAGGAAGATGTGGCCGTCTGCTCCCGCAGAGATTTACAGTCTTGGCTACACTATAGAAGGTTCTGCTCTGTCCTGGCAGTTCACTGTGAGGCCGAATGCACTCAGTGGTAGTCACTGTTCTCACCCTTGAAATGAGCTAACACCCACCTAGTTGACATAACATTTGGTAAGTGATTCAGCGCATGGCCCGTGGAAGTGCTTTATACAGCGCATACACCCACTCCTCACTAACCAACATACGGAGGTTTCAAAGACAGGTCAAGTGTCAGTGGAGAATGGCTGCATCATCACATAACTGCCAAATTACACTCTGACACAATTGTCAGACCGTTGAGCCATGGCCCAGTATTAGTTACTGCTAGTTGTATATTGTTAATGGGCAAAATAGATTCGTTGTTAAGTGCCGCCGAGTTGGTCCTGACCCATAGTGACCCTGTATAGGGTTTCTGAGTCTGTAAATCTTTATGGGAGAAGAAAGCCTCATCTTTCTCCCACAGAACCACTGGTAGTATCGAACTGCTGACCTTAAGGTTAGCAGCCAAACTTGTAACCATTAGGCTACCAGTAGTTGGGTGCCATGGAGTCGGTACTGACGCATAGCAACCTTATTATGCACACTGCCCGGTCCTGGGCCAACCTCACTACTGTTGCCATGCTTGAGTCCATCGATGCCGACACTTGGCCAATCCATCTCGTTGGAGGTCTTTCTCTTTTTCTCTGACCCTCCACCTTACCAAACGTGATGTCCTTCTCCAGCGACTGGTCCCTCCTGATAATATGTCCAAAGTATGAGAGATGAAGTTTTGCCATCTTGGCCTCCAAGCAGCACTCTGACTGCACTTCTTCCAAAACGGATCTATTGATTCCACAGCTTCCTGAATGGGCCCTCTGCCTTCCAATCTCGGAAGCTAAGCAGGGTCAGGCCCAGTTAGGACTTGGATGGGAGAACGCAGAGTACCCTAGGGGCTGTAGGAGTCTCTCAGTAGATAGTAGAGTTTTAATCTTGTTGTAAATGGGAAATGTCTGATAACAGGACAGTTGAAAAGTGAGGAGTAGGTGTGATTCTGTTTAGTGCTGTGGAGTCGAGTCCTACTTAGTGACCCTAAGAACAACTGAACAAAACACTGCCCGGTCCTGCCTCACCCTCACAATTGTGATGTTTGAGCCCATTGCTGCTGCCACTGTGTCTGTCCATCTCTTTGGGTGTTTTCTCTCATT